TAAGCAATTATTGAACTGTTCTGTTACAGTTTTAGGGCATGGAAAACGGGGACTCAATCAAACCAGGAAAGGTCAAATTATAGTACCGTTGTTTTCCAAGTTTTTCTACAAATGAAATCCACGTGTTATGATTTCCATTCACGATCACGCCTCCCCGTTATTGAGATTTATCAGAACGTTTACAGTTATCCAAAAATGACCGTTTAATTGTTATATAAAATAAAGATACTGAACTGGTTCGTTGAAAATCGCTTCCGGTAAAAATTAGTTTTTTTTATATAGTTTCAGACAAAAAAAAATATTAAAAATGCTTGTGCCAAACATTGTCTTGATGGAAATACCAGAGGCAAAGAAACTGCCAAATTCCGGGGAAGGTCTGCACAGACCAATCAGGAGACATCAAGACTCTGAATGGACAGGCTGAGGAGTGGATGACGAGCTGGCTTTTACACTGCTGACAGAGTGGAAAGGAACCTGTAAACTCCGCTGTGTGCCTATTCGCTCCAGCAAATCTGCCTGCTTTGATCACTTTGATGCGGGCTTTGGCAGATTTCCAGCGGCCACTACCCCGTTCATAAAGAATATATTTCTTCATACCATAATCAGTGATGAAGTAAGAATTTAAAATTAAAAGATTTGATTTTTATAATTTTATATTCGGGTTTTTAATTGTTTATATTTTAATTTTTTAATTATTTATATGATAATTACTGGAGTTAGGAGTAGAACAAAAAAAAAATTTAAAAGGATTAAATTAAAAAAATTATTTTAAAAAAACTTATTTTAAAGAAAAAAACTGGAAAAATTTTCTTTGCAGGGATTCAGGTTCTTTCCAACCTTTTCTGTTTTTGTTATTAACTAGAAGTTAATATAATTATTAATTTTAAAATTTATAAAATTAGTCCTAATGTATATAAATTATCATAACATCCATATTAATTTTTTTTAAAAAAATTTCATTAGTTGTCGTTTATTTTTTCAATTTCTTTATGCTTGCCTTTATGGAGAAAACTTTGAAGTTATTGAAGCTGATATTTTATTCACCCGATGCCAAGCTTTTCTTGCATCTGGTGATTTTGAGCTCGCGACATCTGTTGGTATCCAGGGCCATCGCTGATTTGTAGCCCTATGGGAGATCTCAATTCGGAAGAAAGCTTCTGAACCCAAGACAATTCCTGTTATAAGCAGGGATGACGATCGGGGGGTTGTACCTTTCTCCTTTTATTTTTCTCTATTGGATTTCCGGCGGCTTCGAGTTTCTTCATTGATCGAAAAAATAAAATATTTCTTATGATATTTAGTAGTTAAAATGCAACACCAAAGTAATATAGTATGATTTGGTCTGGATTCCCTGGGAGACAAGGAACAAGCTCCAGTTTTTGTCTCCTTTTAAGTGTCGAGGGGAAATTCTTCGCATACACGTCCTCTTGACTCAGGTTCTATGCACTGGTACATATAACTTTGTTATTCTTGACCATGAAACAATCGATCATTCATGCAAATTCCGGTATAAGCATGATTTCATTCAGGAAAATCATATGATACACCATTAAACTACTGAGATATTATCAATTTTTCACTTAAATCATTCTTTTTATCAGATTTATTATCAAAATACTTCAACCTCTTAATCAAATATTTAGTTAGGATATCTAATAGTAAATTTTAAGTTTTTTTTTATATATAAAATGATATATCTTTTATTAAAAAAACACAAACTAGATGGAAATATAAAAAAAAACGTTAAAAATATATGAAAGTATTTAATTTAAACTTTTTAAAGTTTATTTTTTAATTTCAAGTGTCATAAGAGGTATTTTAATATTTTCATGTTAAATTTTTAATTTTTTATATGAAAAAGTTATTGATGCGTGCTTATGACATACCAACAAAGAAGTGGCGCACACACCTTAGCAACAATGCATGTGACATCATTTAATGACCTAACTTCATATAAAACCTTTTTAGTTGGAAGACTCGGCCCAGACAAATACATGGAAGAGCGTAAGCCCAATTAATCTTTTTTTTTTTTTATGATAATGTTTGAGTTGGGCTAAAACCAAATTTAATTATCACAAAGCCTGAATTATACAGGGCCTTGAATTGTTCATCGTCGTTATAGTTACCTTTATTCGTCATTGTTTATTTATTTAAAATTATTTTTATTTAAAAATATATTAAAATAATATTTTTTTTGTTTTTACCATTAGTAAATTAAAATGATTTAAAAATATATAAAAATTTAATTTAAAACAAAGGGGAATTATTTTTTTAAAGCATTTTTAAAGTACAATATATATATATATATATATATATATATATAGCCAACAACGAATATAATGATTTTTTTCTTCCAACAACGAATATCTGTATATGATGCTATAAGTATTGATTTGTCAGAAAACAAAGGCACTCGATTGTGAACTCTGTTGTTTTTACGAACACGGAGAAAATCCATATAAACTATATAAAAATCAACTTTAAATACAACAATGAATCACACGCAATCTAAAATTAGTGCACACCGCAGGATGCATTTCACTTGCAAGTTTCCTGTCTAGTTTTTTTTTTAATTAATGATTTTTTTATCGTACTTTCTCTAAGGGCACAATCATGCGGCCCTCCTAAATGGGCAAGTGGGCTGGTCTGGATTTCCAGACCCAACATTGCTTGTCCTTTATTTATTTTTTAATTAATGATTTTTTTATTGTTTTTTCTCTAATTTTTTTAAATTTATATTTACATTAGTATTCTTGTTTTTTTTTTCATTTTGTTTGAAGAGTTTTTTTTAAATGATAATTATTATTTTAATTATCATTTAACTTTTAAAAGTTTTTCTGATTTATTTATAATTCTGAACAGAGTCTAACGTAACGACATCTCAGCATGACCAATGATAATTATTTATCATTTAAGATCTCAACATGACCAACGATCAGGCAATTCACCGGGCTTTTCATGAAGAGAAGATAGAGGGCCTTCACATTTAATCTGGCAAACCACCAACCAAAGAAATAAATAGCCGTGTGCAAGCTCGCCGATCAGCTTTCCAACACGTATCTTACACAAATCGCCCATCCAAAAGCCATTTCTTTGGCTCTCAACATTCTTACGGGCTTCACTATAAAAGTACCAGGCAGGTATAGGTACTGTAATGGGACTCTGCAATAAATGGAACTTCTTTCTGGCAATACTACGCCTGGCCTAGCTCCATTTTTCTGTAGCGGGGCTGGTTCTCTCTGTTTTTCAGTATCCCATTAGCAAGCAAACATGTGCCAACTCGAATTTGAAGCCATCTTCAGATGGTTTTCTATTGGGCATGAAGCGAGGAACTGAACATAAAATCCATGAACTTCATGATATTTTATCTTGTCAAAATTGATCCAAAACCATGTATTATCGGCCCAATGGCTCATCACAATTAGTATAGTCACTTCCAAGGCCTAACCCACTAGGTCTATGAATCTATTGGCACTATCAAGCTAAAAATAACTCCCAGAACCATTAATACGTTATTTTATGATAGAATTTTAAGTAGGTCTTATACATACATGCATACATACATATGTATATGTATCTATACACATATATGCATAAAGTGACATGATAATGTAGAAATAAAATCCATTTACTAACCGGACTACTTTTCCTTCATAGGAAAAGCAAATTACTTTTAAATTTAGGGTGAAACTAGAATTTTAGTTGGCGGTTATTTTTAAAATATTTTTTATTAAAAATATATTAAAATGATATATTTTTTAAAAAATATTATTTTTAATATTAATATATTAAAACGATTTTGAAAATATAAAAAATTAATTTAAAATAAAAAATATAATTTTTTAAAAATATAAAAATAAACAAACTCTTAAATCCCAACATAAATACAGACACAATGCCTTGATATTGCTCATTCTTGTCCAAAGATGGCAAAGAGTCCTATCATTATTAACCTTCTAAAGTCTTAGCTTAGGCCTAAAAATATGGCAGATCATCTTCGAGACTTGGCTTAGAATCATTTCTTGAAGCAGTAAAATTTAAATCTAGAACTAATTTGGCATTATATGAGTAAAAACAGCAAGTGCGGCATGTATTGAGCACATAGTTGCCTTATTTTTATCAAGCCTGGCTGTATAGGACTGCTTTTTGCAAGATTAAATTAATAGTTAATTAATCATGTTCTCAATGCTTAACAACAATGGCACTGTATAACTAGCTAGAAAGATCCAGAGTTTAATGAGCCAATACGGTGATCACCTTAAAGTAATTTGTCGCTAATAAGGGTACACATCGATCCTGACAGCAATTTATGATCATTTCTTCTTGTTCTTCATTTGATTAACTGTCTTAGCGGGCATCGGATTCCTAGTCTTGCTAGCTAATTCTAAAGGTACGTGCCATAATCAACATCATGTTGATTTTTCTATATTTCGACCAGGCAGTATCCGATATCAATCTGGATAAATTCCGCAAAGATACCAAGTACAATACCACGCCGAAAATCATGAAGATACGGTGGTAGTCTTGCCAAAACATTTTTATATTTATATTACAATAAATTAGCATTTGTTATTATTATTGGTCTCTTCAACTCCTAATGCCCTCGACATGTCTCTCCGTTATCTATTAAAAAACTAATTTTTTAATTGCCAAGGGCTGGGAAATATCAAAACATGAAAGGATGCAAAGCATTTTTTAAAGTAGGTAAATTTACCGCCTCTTCATTTGCTAGCTGCTACCCTCTTCTCTATGTGCTCCGGGCCTCTTAACACGAGAAGTCCATATAGCTCTCATTCCGTATTATCTTTATTTTATTGGTTATTTTATTGGTTGGTTTTATGTTGAGTCCTCCAATTATGCAAGAATTAGAGTTAGGGCCATCATATCCTATATTCAGTTGATTTAGATCTCAATCTTTCGTCCGTATAGTAACTCCATGTTGCATTATAGTACTACAAGAAAAGTAAATGCAAGCACTGATCATGAAAAAACACTCACAGTAATAACACAAAATAAATATATTTCATTGCTTGGAAACTTAGGAACATCGGAAAGGGATCAGAATCATAAAAAGATTCAAGATGCCTTCCTTGATACATTAATTATATTAGCAGCATGACAATAACATAAAATACATGAGAACTAGAATAATATATAAAAGAAATTTAAGGGAAAAGGAGTACAAGAGTAGAATCACTGATTTTGATCCTTCAATCCAAACCAGTCTTTCAAATTAATTAATATATGACAAATAGAGCTAGCTCATGAGTGAGGCCCTGATAGGAGAAGGAGCAGCATAAAGCGGTGAATCTTTATTGCTGCTGATCGTACATGAAGTGCACAGAGCGAGCTCACAAATGGAGCTTCATATTTTTCATCCTGCATGTCGGGGGGAAAAAAGATCAACATATTTGTCATCAGTTATTATTATTATTATTATTATTATTCATTTATTTTTTCTCTTGCTTTTTCATGAATATTTGGTTCAGAAATTATGTATTTTTTGCTGTGGCTGAAACTCCAGAAAGAGAAATGCCACTAAACTGCAACTGCGTGAGTTTGAAAGCTATATATTTGCTTGTTAAATTCATAATTTAGTTGTCAAGATCACTATTCATTGAAGCCACGTGAAAAGCACTTGTGGGGTCAAAAAAAAAAGAAATTAAAAAAATAATCTGCAATAATTTTCCACAATACGTATCTTATTATTTTCTTATAGGAATAAACTCTCTGCATGTTATTTGGGCCATTTAAAGTCAGTCTTCATGAGGGCATATTCTTGTTGATGGGAGCTTGGATTTTAGTTTGGATTGTAGATGCACAGTTTTTGCCATTTGAGAGTCAATATGTGGCTCTCAAGAAATAAATAAACTAAACAATCCCGTCTGTAAAGCACACCACAGAAAAAGAGTTGGGAAAATCCATGTAAAGTTACAGAGTTAGACAGTACCAGTGACTCCATGACACCGAACTTGATTAGATTCAGCTACCTTTAATTGTGGCATGATATGGTTAGCTAAAAAGTCAAGTCTTGTAGGTGACCATATAGTTAGGTAGCTAAATATGCATGTGTGACTGATTTTATCTTGGTTGTTGTTTAGGTGAAGGACTGAGACTTATAACTGCTATACCTCTTGCGTGGCCATTTGCTCCAGTAGTCCTGTAATTAGGGAAAGGAACATGACCCGACTCAATATGCTTCACATCCTCCACAAGCAGTTCATAGTGCCTTTTCACTTCTTCTGCGGTTTTTCCACCGACCGCCCTGGCTACATTGTACCAGCGATCGGGCGTGTCTCTGTCATACACGGCCAAAGCCCTTTCAAAGGCTTTGTTCTGCTGAGCAGTCCACGAGCCCGAACCGCGAGAGGACATTGAGCTTGATGCCATTTGTTTGAATGGTGTTTTGCTGTGAGAAATTCGCTAGGCGTACAAGTAAATAAAGAGAGAAAGAGACTGTCGAAGGTTGGTAGGCTTGCTGCGACGGCAAAGGATGATTGCTGAGAAGGGTGGTGAAGGTAAAGATAAGATATTTCAAGTCAAGGAGAAGATATGTGCAATAGAGGTGGCAGTGCCTGGTTTTTATAGGCAGAGGTGGAGCGGAGGGGGTGATGAGGTGGGGTAGGGCAGAAAAGAAATCTTGCAAATGCAGTAGAATTTTTAATGATTTGTCTCCTTAGGAACCACAAAATATGAATCCGAACACCACCGTAGGAGAATCAGTATCTTCACTTAATTAACAACACACAGTTAAGAGAATCAGTTAAGAGACTCTATAAATAATATATAGTTGTGTGGCGATTCTAAAACATTTTGAATTTTTTTGTTTTAAATTATTTTTTTATATATTATTTATAATTTTAATAAGTTGATGTTAAAAACAATTTTAAATAATAAAAAATATATTATTTTAATATATTTCCAATAAAAAAACACTTTAAAAACATAATCTCCACTGAATCCTTAAATTCTAACCATTGTGAATTCATATACTAAAAAAAACAAACACTAGTAATTACCAAAACAAATAGAACCAATCCTTCCATATTTGTAAAATTAACTTAGTTCCGTCAACATTCACTTGGCGTCGTTCAGTTAACTTTCTTATCTCCTCGGGACACGGTAACTTTATGAAGTGATTTTTGATACATAAAATGAGTGGTCGGCAGGGAAGCCATATCAAGCTTCTAGAATGGCATATTGCCTCCGCAATACCCCCTTTCCCAACTTCAGGAGAGCTAGAGCTCGGGATACCTTTTTAAGTAGTGCCATAGAAGCAGCAACCCTGACTCTCTCGGCACGTACGGTGATCGAGCTTTCAACAACTGGGCCAACGCCATGTAAGAAATTGTATTGAGTTAGAACCTTCAAAGATAAATTTCAATAGTAAAAACAACGAAGTAGAAATCCCTGGGTATAGGATTCTGCACTTGTTGAGATTTTATGCAGATTATTGCTCCTTTACTGTTTTTTTCTCAACTTCAACTGCACAGAGGGCTCTGAGTTAGGTGGTCCAAGTTAAAACCATAACCAGACCTTATAATTTTAACCTTCACGTGTGCACCACAACCCCATGTTTTTTTTTTTTCCTTTTCAGAAAGGATTTTTTGCAGCAAAAAATCCTTCATGTTCTGTTTCATTATCATGGAGATTATCTTACAAGCGTACTACGTCCTCAACAACATTCCAAGCAAAACTAGCTGGCTTCCTGATTCCGTACAATGATTATATTATATGTTCTTTTCTGGGAGAGAAGTTCAGCATATGTTACCTACCTTTTCATAGCTTTTGGGACCCTCCCTTCAGAATGTTGGGTTATCTCTTTGAGACTGTTGTTTTAATTATCAAGAATGTTTCAGACACTTAAATGGCTAACGAAGTGTGCTATCAGACCTTTTCTTCCCTTCTTGGATATTGAAATGTTTTCTAGTCTACTTTGATTAATGTTCAATGAACAACATCTTACCAGTCCCATCAGTAAGTGTTTATGGTCCTAATTAGCCTATCTTATCACAATTTACTCTAGTGAATATTAACTTGATTTTCATTATGAAATCATCAACATTTGTGAAAACAAAACATGATTAACAGTTGCATTAATTATAAGGTCAGAAGAAAATAATGCCGGCGCCGGTCAGTAATATTGATAATATTGGAGTGTTTATGGAGAAGTTACCGGAAAGGCAAGGTAAAACGTGAAAAGAGGGGCATCAGGCGCTGATGCAACCATGGAATATATTTGTCCTTTCAGGCAAACAGGTTCAAAGTATTATGTGAATAATACAAGCTTCTATACCATCATAAATAACAAGGGTATGATCAGTAGATGGCTCCTCTGCTTTGTTGTTACCTCAGGATGGTGTGCTGGAGTCACAAAGATTGGTTTCAGAATCTGCCCACTTGCTTAATTTTATCCTATTTTGGAGTAGATATTATTGGCCCGCCATTTGATCCAACTTTAACTCGAATCTGATATATATATAATCCAAGTCTAATATATTAATTCGTTTATTGAATGATTCAAATATGGATCTATTTTGATCTGGTCTCATAATAATCTAATCAAAAAAATATTCTTAAAACATAAACAAATTTAGAAAAAGAATATTATGACACTAGGTTTAGATTTTGGATTTCTTTACTTTAAATGCTAAATAACTTTTTGTATTTTGCTCATTTTATTCTCTACATTGATAACTATTCTTATAAACAATCAAATTCTTATTCAACCTTTTCAAGTCTTCAATTAATTTTGTGAAAAATCCTATAAATTTATGAACAAAATTGATGATTTGTTACCGGTATTACAATCTGAATTTCTGTCCATTTTGTAAAACATTAGGCTTTTATTTCATTCCAATAGGTTGTGTCTAGAGTATGTGTTGTCATTATTTTCTCTTAGTTTTGTCGTGCTTCTTTGCTAATTTAAATTAATTTTGACCTTTAATATAAATTTTTATTAGGAGCATTTGATTTAGTTTTTTTCAACTGTGAGACATTTGAATTTTATTTTTTCAATTAACGTATAAAATATAATCATGACATATTTTATTATACGTACAGTAGTTAAAATTCATTTTACATTTAAAGTAAGATTTTGAATATAACTAATATTTTTAAAAAAAATTGAATGATAGATTCTATGAATATTCAGATTTTGGATCTGGATGAATCGATAATTGGACAAAAAATTATTCAAATTTATAAAAATCTTATCCATTTATTAAATAAATCAAATACGATTTATATATTTTAATCCGATCCAAATCCGACTCGTTTACAGCCCTAATTGTTTCTAAAGTTATCCCTATTGGGAAAGGATAACTGATTACGTACAGGGTTTACTTCTTCGATGGTGAACAAATGCTTTTTATCTTTGCTGGCCCATATATATATATGTACCTGTTTCACCTTTGAATTTGTCAATGATGGACATCTCTTGCAGTATTTTGAACAGATATCTGGTCAGTAAAGGGCAACCGAAAGGCAACATTGTCGCAGAATCTTTTTGCTGGCCAAGATGTTGGGAGCCTTACGCCTCAGCGGGGCTATTTGACTCTTGTCAGCGGCCCTTTATTCATCTCAGGAACATTTAACGAAAATTCTAGTGATTGTATTAGAGAAACTTATCTTATCCACAAGATTTTTCATGTTGTTTGATACTGTGATGGATTGATTCAAGATAATTAGCTCATTTGCTAAAAAAGTTTCCATCATGATGCAATGATATTACCATTCATTTGGAGGTTTTCAGAAAATCAACAGGCAAGCCCTTATCTTCAAGTGCTTGTACATCTTATGACCATTCTATTTTCATCCCTTTGATATATACAGCAACTCTCAATTAATTGTCTTGTCAACTTACAATCAACATTTACAAGCCATACATTTAGTGATTAGATTATCTGCTTGATATACGATGTGACTGTCGGAGCCATAGAATAATGAGTCTGGTTAGGTTTCTAAAGTCATGTTAGATGTTACTGTAACAATAGTCTAAGAACATCTGCTTAGTCATAGAGTTCTCAATCAAGAAAAGGACACAACTTCTCGGGGGAAACTAAATATCTGTTTACAACAAAAGGTTAAGTTTCGAGGAAGAATCGGAATTGTGAGGCTGGTGGTGTGATTCTGGCTCTAGGTTGCAAGTTGGTTAGAGTAGCCCCAAGCTACAAGTCTATGTATGCTGAAATCAATAAGGGAGACTTAAGTTTAGTCTTAAACATCCAGGAATTGGAAAGGAACAGAAGACAAGATTAGAAAAACTTAGGTGGTCAATGAATGGCACAGTGCATATGGTTCCTTCAAATACTCATGAGACTGTGGTGATAGAATCATCGGTCTATCAAAATATGAAACATAGAACTTCATACCTACAGCAAATTGTTTTCCTGGTAGAATTCGTTCTCACCAGACGTCATGCTGTGCTTTTAATTAGCTTTCCTAGTTAAACTGTTGATTAGTGTTGTTTCTTGGATAACAATGCATCAAGTCTTGAAGCGGTTGAAATGAATGAGGAAGGCCCCAGAGTTAATTTGGAGTCATGATCATAGGATTCTGGCCACACACTAGTGGGTCTGTCGGTGATGATTAGTTGAAAATAACGTGAGCAACTGTATGGGAATCTGTACGATGAAAAAGGGATTAGAGATACACCTTGCTGATATTGGAGATCCACATCATCAATTCCATCCCAATTGGACCAGTATCTGTGGATTCCTCTCCCCTACCATGACTAATTTTCCTCTGTCAGTGGTCCTTCCCTACTAGTTGGAGACGTTTTATTACCTTAGACTGTGTCTTCATCAACAATCACTGATCAAGAGTACTGTAAATTTAGCTAACAAATAGTTAAGCGAGTTTCAGAGAGTTGAGACAACTTGTTTTGCATATTATTGTTTAGTTCAAGATGGGTCTTGTGGCCTTTTTATCATCGACAGCCTACAGAACCAGGAATCCACAACTTTATGGGGAAGAAAACACTCCAGCTAGCCTTGGCTGGCTGGTCCTGAGGTGGCCGTAAAGCAACTCTTTTATTGCTTTTCTTCGCCAAATCTTTGAATAAAGAGAAAAAATTCGGGATAAGGTAATTGTAACTGGAACATTTAAGTCGTTGAAAGGAAGAGTGTGAGGGGAATATACAGAGGGAAATGCCTATTGTGTGAATGAGATTTGTACAGCCCTGCACTCAATGATGATAAGCATTTGTTTGTGTTTGTGATTGGATCAATTTTTCCTTTACTTGTGATTCTAGTTGTAAGCGTGTTCAAGCCATATAGAGAAGCGGGCTAGCTTTCTGAGTTGATAATACACTTGTGGCTTGTATGAGCTGGATAGGATATGATGTAAATGTGTATTTATAGGCCATGGACCATGCTATTGCTATGAATTTAAAGAAAAGAAAAACCATAGCTAAAAAACTAAGAATAAACCGACCTTTTTTCTTTTTTTATCATAACCAATCAGCATTTTAGCAATTTTGTATGCACCAATCACAATTTCTCTTCTATTCATTAAGGATCATGTCTGT